CCAGCTTCAGGCCTTTCTCCTAAATAAAGCCTTCCTAAGCTTCCCAGACCCACACTAATCTCTTCTTTAAGTCTTGAGTTTCTGTTTTGAGGTCTTTCTTTTCCATCTGAGAGATCAGAAACTCCTTAATGATAGGAAATAAGCTTTATGTAAGTCTCTCTCTTCCCACAATGCCACGGTGCTTGCTAGGTCCATATTACGTGTTCAATAGCTACCAGCAGAAGTCCAAACGCAGTGACTTTCGCTGAGACAGAATTAATGTTATTAAATAGTTGAAAGAAATGGAAGGAGCATGCCTGTTACTTAGGCACTGCTCCAAGTCCGGCACTGTGTTATGTGCTTCATATGTGACATTTGCTTAACCCTCACAACCACCCTCCAAGGAAGACTCTATTATTACCCCCCACTTCAAAGACGAGGAAACTAAGGCTCAGAGAGAATAAGAAACCTGCCAAGGTCACACAGTGAGTAGAAGAGCCAGAAATAAAACCGAGGTTTGACTGACTCACTGACTGAACGAACCCAAGTTCCTTGCGCCACAGCACCCTGCCTCGACAAAGAGGAATGCTGTCCTTTCCTCTCATTCCCTGCTCTTACCTTGTGTGTGTCCTCATGGACTTCTTTATTGAAACGTTTCATCAGCCTCCGAAGACTTGTCTCAAACTCCATTTTTATCCTTTCACTGTAATGCATATTGAAAAAATCTGAGAATGAATGTCATCTGGGGTCCCTGTGGCATGTAGGCCAGCCATGCTAAGGGATGTGAATTAAGTCCTGCAGACAAGGGAGAGTGTCTTAGTTGGGTGTGCGTGCGTGGTGTGTGTGTGCGCGCGCTTCGAGTGCATACATATGAACATGCTTGTATTCTGTGTACTGTTCTGCTCCTTCTCACGTACAAACCTTAGCTCAGGACATTCTCTACCCAGAATGCCCTCCTTTCAACCTGCACCAAATCACGCCTCATGAACATGAGCTGAAGCTCACATCCTCCAGGAGGTCTTCTCTGACTGCGTGACCTCCCATGGCTGAGTCCATCCATAGCAACCACCACCTTTATGTTCTATTAATGCACACTCATTTGTATGGTGCTGTTCTGGTGTAAAATCTCTTTCATATCTGTGCCCATGCATCTTTAAGAAAACTTGATGCTTCATGAATGACTTCTACTATCTCCCCGCTGCGTGGCTAATAATGTGACTACACAGTGGAACCCAATAACCAGTTAACTACCAGGTGCTGTGCTCCATATTCTCATGCCACCAAGGCTGCAGAGGGACAGGGGACACTGGGATAGAATGGGGGCTCCCTACCATGGTGGGGCACTGCCTCAAGTCCTGCAGCGTGATGTGCTGGGAGAGCATGAGTTGCCCAGTCAGCCTGACAGGAATGTAGATCTTGGTTCGTCCACTTACTGGCTGAGTGACTCCTGAAATTATACTTAACCTCTCTGAGCCTCTGACTTCTCGTTTATATACTAAAGATTAAGGAAGATAACTGACAAGCTGTGGAGTCCCTGGCACACAGCAGGTGTTCAATACATAGGCGTTTTCTCTCCCCATCTCCTGCCCCAGCCAGGAGACAAAGGTTTTTCATTCAAGTCCTAACGGTGAACCCAGGGCTCTCTCATCCAAGATTCCTAACCACTTTGATATTCAACCCTGGTCTCCTACATGTTTCTCAGAAGTTGTAAGCAGCAGCTGTTACCAATTATATGTGACAGAAACCTAGAAGCATGTGCCTCCTCTCACCTTCTTTCTCTTGCTTTCGCCTGCTCTGGTGTTTCAATCTCGATCTCCACTGGTTTCACAGGCAGGGCAGATTGAGAGAAGGCTGCATTTTCTCCCGCGTCACCTGGCACAGGCTCACTAAGTTCTAGCAACAGTAATTTTAAAAAATCAATAATAATAATAATTATAATTATAGCTATTGTACTGAACAAAATCGAGGTTCTGCTGGGAAGCAGGAAGTAAGGAATGGACGCGAGGTGGACATCTCGCGGGAACAACTCCTCTTCCCATGCTTTGAATACCTAAAAAAACGCCAGGCACTGTGCTGAGTGTTTTACATTTAACCCACACGACAACCCAGAGAAGTGGTCCTGGCTGTAGAAGTAGGAGGACACTAAGGCAGAAAGACACTGAGCTGAATTACCAGACCCCGGCTACCAAGGAGCTGATGCTCATGTGTGTGTTTTAGTATATGTTGTTCCCCCGCCCCCTAAAAAGCCAAAGGAGAACAATTTCCTATTCTCATAACACTGATCACAATTTGCTTTGTATGGAGTCATGACTTAGGTCTTTCAGTCTCAGTTGCAAACGTGTAATAACAAAAAATGTGTCTTTTTCCTCTCTTTACCCCCTATGCTGCTTACAAACACTAGTCAAAATAAGCTCAATTTGCTGACCTGGATCTAACTGTGAACTTCATTAGCAAAGGGCTCTTTTAAAGAAGCTTTGGGCCTAGAAGCAATGACACCTGTTTGGCAATGACGATATCCAATGCCAAGATTTTGGTTTTTATATACCAGTCCCTACTTTACAATGAACCACGGCTTGTTGGAGAAAAAAGGTTGATTCCAGGTGTGCAGCAAAGAAAGAATAAAGTGAGCCTGGAACATCTTGAGCCAGGAAATACAAATGTTCTCAGAAACATTATAATGAGGCCATGTCAAAAAGACACAGTAGGGTAGCTAGCTTAAAGGGGCTTCCACTAGCCAAATTTGGGACAATCTGAAGCTCAAAAAGTATAATGATGATAACTAGTAATATATCTGAATTTAAAAATAACTCTAAGTCCATACTGATACTCAAAATAAATGACTAAATAAATACAATTCCTGAAAGGAAGAGCTCTTCTTTACAGATCAAAGTCAGCTAATAAATGTATATAAAATGACAGAATCAGAATATTACCATTTTTCAATCCTTAATATAATAATTTCTGATCCAGTCAAGATCATTAATGCATACTAAAACCATTAAGTAAAAAATTACCGGGGAACAAGATATTCACCCAGAATCAGCGTACTACTCCAGCGATGGTTAATTACAAAGGGAAAATGTACCTTTACATTGGCACAATAGGGCAGTACCACCTTGCACAATCACACTTCGCATCACTAGGACATGACATTAGGTGTCTCTTAATGGCGTACATGATGTACAAAGCATCACCTATGATGCATTCTTGCAAAAATAAAGTTTAATCTAAATTCAATCAAGTCTTTGGATTTAATTTACAATTTGTAAGAAATACATGGGATACTGAAACAAGTGTAACACCGCCTACACTTGTTTAGTCTGGTTACTTATCAGACAAAACCAGAACATGAGACATTCTACAAAACAAGAGGCCAGGGCTCTTCAGAAAAGGCAGTGCTATGAAAATAAAAAAAAGGTGATGGGTGAGGGGTACTGTTCTAGACTAAAACAAACTAAAGAGACGTGATCAATACAAGCCTTATACCTTGATTAGATCCTGGATTAAAAAACAAGAAAAATAGCTATAAAGGATATTAATGTAACAACTGGTAATTTATTTTTCTTTTTCTTAGGTGTGATAATGGTATTTTATCACATAGAAGAATGTCTTTTCTTAGGAAATGCATGGTGCAATATTTAGAAGTGTCAGAATATCTGCAACTTACTTTCAAATGCTTCCAGAATGCATAGTTGCTGAAAGATACATTCAATATGGCAAAACATTAAAGTTAGTGAATCTATTGTAGATGAAGAATATTATGTACTACATTTTCAATTTTTTTGTAGGTTTGAATATTTTCAAAATAGAAACCTGGGAAAAAGTAATCCAAGGCTGAAGCATTCAGGGATGATAACGTTAGTTGCTATTTATTGTGAGCATACGATGCACTAGGCCCATTGTATCTGCAAATTTCCCCCGCGCCCTAACAGTCCTGGAGCCTAGACTGTGCACTGCTCATAGTAAGCATTCAATGTTTACTGAATGTTAACAATGAAAAACCCGGCTCTGACAGGTGGAGTTACTTGCTCACACAGCTATGTAAGTGGCAAAGCTGGACTCTGACCGCAGGTCTAACAACTTTCAAAGCCTGTGCTGCCTATTTCATAATCTACTCCATTGATAGCCACCAAAGGAAGAGAATATACAACCTACTCTTGTAACTGGGTGTTGAATTTTTCCTTATATCAAAAGCTAGTCCCTATTGCATCCTTATCTGTTTCCATATTGGTTTCAAAAGAAAACAACAGGATTGCAATCAGTGACATGACTCCAAATAGAACCAAACAGAAACACAGGATCAAACAGTTCTGAAAACAATGAAAGATGTTTTACCTTCTACCTCTTCCCAGTCCTCTTCACTTTCCTCCTCGTCGTCTCCTTCATGGCTGTCTTTGTCCATGGCAGCCTCTCTCTTTGGAGGGTGTACCTTCTTACAGGCATTTGTAAAGTCCCTGCGTAAAGATGACAGGAAAGGAGATGAAGAAGGCACAGATATCCTAGGATTACATTTAACTAAACAGAATCTTAAAAGACTCCTTCTATTTATTGAAAATCTGCTGCAATTATTTGAAGATAATTTATGAGCTCTGGCCTCATTTCCCCATCAGCATGAGTCTGAAGTTCTCATCCAGGTGTGCTCTGATCATCAGTCTAATACTAGATGTGCTGTCAAAACAGAAAAAAGCACCACGATCCTACCCCTACAGGTGTGTGAAGGAAAACACAGCTGTGCATAGAAATGGTATAGGAAAAGTTAGAAGAAACCACAATCATAATGNGGAGGGCCATACCATTTCACCAGGTTTGACAGGTAGTGGAGATCCACGTCTTGAGGAGGCACTTTGATAAAGCGAGTTGGGATGATGGAGAGACCAATAGCGTGCAAATCGGGCTGGTTACAGATGTTATTTCGATAGAAGCCATTTGCTAGCAGGCACAGAAGGTGAACCTGACGAGAAAGAGAAAAGGGAAGACAATGAAGGAAGGCTAAAAACTAGAGGAATTTTTGCTGCCAAATTAAAAGACATTCTGTGAGCAGGAAGTATTTGTTGTCATTTCTACATACAAAGAAGTAAAAATACTAACTTTAACCATTTCCCAAGATTTTGACTTTCACCCCCTCTTCTATTTAGATACTCATTCCCTCAAAAAGCCTCAAATCTCAAAGCTTCAAAATACTATTGGGTTGTAAGAAAAGTCATGACGCATTTTTGCAATGAAACCATAGAAAAAATACATCATGACTTTTCCAACAACCCAATAACTTCTTTTAAGAGGCCTTATCTTTTAGAGATACACATACTGAAGGATCTGTGGATGAAATACTACAATGTCTGGGGCTTGCTCCAAAAAGATCAGGCGGAAAAGTGAGTAGGCGGAGAGAACAGCAAGACTGCTCACAGGCTAACTGTCAAAGCTTGGAGACGGCACTGGGCTCACTGCACTGCTCTCTGCATTTCCACGTGTGCTTGAACCCAGCATCCTCCGCTTCAAGCCCTACATCTGGGTCGGCCGAGTGGCTCAGCTGGTTAAGAGTTGGCTTAAGAACACGAGGTCTGAGCAACAGGGCCACCGGCTGGATTCCCATATGGGCCGGTGACGCTGCGCCATAGCTGAGCTGTTGCTGAGTTGCCAACAGGTGGCAGGATGGCTCAGCTGGTGTAACAACAAGATTGCCTGTTCGATGTTGGGCTACGCTCACTGGCAACTAAGACTGAACTTGGCACCTTGAGCTGAGCTGCCGCCCAGATGGCTCAGTGGATAGAGTGTGTGCTCTTAACAAGGCTGCTAGTTTGACTCCCACATGGGATGGTGGCTACGCCTACCTGAAACTAAGACTGAACACAGCACCTTGAGCTTAGAGGCCACGAGCTGCCGACAGGCAGCCAGATGGTGACTGGCGTCCTCCACAACGAAGACTGAAGAACAACAACTTGGCTGGTCCCCTTCCCCAATTCCCCAACACTGTTCCCCTCCCC